CCCCCCCCCCCCCAAATGTTGCTTAAAGAAGGCCCCCACCCCCAATACCCTTTGCCTGAATGAATGCCTTGGATATGACAAGTTTTCTGTCCGTGGAGTTTTAATTGATTTCGACTTCCAATATCACCATGTGAAGTTATTGGACAACCTCACTGCAACGCTCATCTTAAATATGACATTCATTCTCACAGAGTATATTTACTCTACTTTTTGTGGCCTCTGTTACCCTACGATATGGACGGGAGAAGCATACGTGCCTCTCTTGTTTATTGTACCGTACTGCCTGTTGCATGGTTATGTCGTTTTTGTGAAATGTTTCTCTGACCCCCCTCTATTGTCTTTTTTTAAACTCCTCACAGAATGGGCGCTGCTCAGAGCAAAAAACGTCGGAAGGAACGAAAGAAGAGGAGGCGGCAGCTGTCTAACTCCACAGCTGAGTTTGACATTCCACGGAGTGCAAGCGTCGATGTCATACGTTCCCTCAATGTCTCCACCTCCTCCTGTCTGCACTGCCACAGCCTGGCGGGTCACCGTGCTCTCTCGGCATCCTTGGGGCGGGAAACCTGCCATCGGACGTTCCTGGACTCGGTGGGAAGAGAGACGCCTCGAAGAACGTTCTGCGATTCTTTCAGCGGATGTCCACACTCGCCCCAGCACCGCTGTGTGCGTGACCATGGCCATGACGTGAGTGACCTCAGCGACGGCTACGAGTCTTGCCCCAGCTGCCTGACCTCCAGGAACTGTCTCGCCGTGTCCTCTCCGTCCTACCTTGGTGTCATGAAGGACAGCTCGGCGTCGCTGAATAAACCTGCGCCAGAGAGCTCTCTGAGGGTCATGGGGTCAAGGAGTTCCGAGTTTTTAGGAATTCAGGAGACATTTATGAGAAAAGAAAGAAGTGAAGAACGATTATTGTCAAGGGCAGAAAACTCCCACCTCTTAGCGGCGCACAGCAGTCGACCATTTCAGTCAATGCAGCAAGTTGCATCATGGGTCAAACCTGTGGGAGACACAGACCGGCCGGCAAAGCCAACGAGAACATCAGAAAGATGTAACCAGCTACAAGACAGTGCTACTTTTTCGTCCACATTATCTACTTTGGAGGTTCCGGAAGCTCAGAGAGTTTCTGGGAGCGGGTCGGATCCTGGCGGAGAGTCAGTTTCGGACACTTGCCAGACGACAACTTGTTCCTCTAAGTCTGACGGCAAACTGCCGATTAAAGTGTTGGAGGATGAACCGTCCATCTTGGCTCGCTGGGAAAAGCAGAAGTATATGGCCCAGCAGCTCAGAATTCTGAGAAAGCATATACAAGCTCATGAGTCGTCTTCTACCGTTCCCCCTCCCGCTCCCCTCTTCACTGACAATGAAGCCAGCTGTCATGGTGTGGAAAGTGGTGCAAGTGAGCACATGAGTTCGGAAGAACCTCAACCACGCACACTCCCACACGACTCGAGTTCTAGGGGGTCTGAGGGCAACTCAAAATCCCCACGGAAAACGTCACGAAGGAAATTTACCAAAATGAGCAACTACAAATACTTAGACAGTCATCCTGTTTTGTCCAAACTTCAAAATGAGCAAAATAACAGATTGGAGAGTATGGAAAGACGGATGAAGGAGATAAGAATAAGTGCCATGCGAGAAGCGGAAAGACGAAAATTTGCAGAGATTTTCCCTGCCAAGGAAGATAACTCTGAGACTGAGAGAATGATCCAAGAAGCACGAGAGACGTTGGAACGATTGAAAGAAGAAAGAAAAGTGAAGGGACATAATCAACAACAGCAAATATTACACCAGAAGCCAACTGTTGTAGATAGTGCCTTACAGCCAAGAGTGCCTTTATCAAATATTGAAAACTGCAATGTTGAAGAAGATTCAGGGGAAATAGTTCCAGTCCATGTTTTACACTTGCAAGGAAATAAAGCCAAAAGCACAGCTGAATCACAAACTGAAGCAAAATCACAGGGGAGATGCAGCCGGAAGGAGGAAGCTGTCAAGAAACCTGACTGGGTGAACGACACATGGCCAAACATCAACCTAGGTAATTACTCATGGGGTGAGCAGACAAAACACCTTTGTGCAAGTGGGAAGGTCAAAGGTCAGACTTAGCTGCTGTGACTTCATTCTCAACCATCAAAGTCTTATAGAGAGCTTTGCGTTCTTACAATTTTGGTGTTCTAACGCCATGAGGCTGAGTTTTCAGAAAATGGGAATCAAAGACTAACTCTCTTATAGCTAAAATGTCTTTACACCTTTAATTGTTAAGTGTGAAATTGAAAGAAAAAGAGATGGTCAGATTGTCTAGAACTTTGACACTGTGTACAGGGCATCTGTGTCAGTAATGTGTAGTATGTAACTCGGTTCTCGCAAAAACTGGAGTTAGAACTGTGTTATTGTAAGTGGGCTAACGAGCAGTTCTCAAACACTTGCAAATATTGAATGATGTCATGGCTTGACCTACCCACTTTCACAAATGGTGTCTTACGCTAACAATTTTTGTAGTAGTGTACTTGAGAAAGACTTTCAAAATGATATAACGCAGTTGAAATTATCCAAGATTGCCACTTTTTATCTAGGAGAAAACTGGTTGTCTTAGACAGATAGATGTCTTGGACAGTGTCATTACAGTATAGAAAAAATGCATGGGAGGAAGTTGGAAGTGATCATTTGTATAGGTGATTGTCTTGGGCAGGTGGTCACTACAACCGGTTCGACTACATATGTATACCTACTTTGTGTCTAATTTTAGAGGATACACAGCAATTTTAGTGTCACACATAACGATAGAAATAAATACAGAAAGCCAAAATGTTTTGGTACATGTACTTCTTTAGGATTTCTAATAGTTTACCTATTTTGGAAGTCTTTCTCTGAATAAGGATATCACAGAAAGATGTTGTGCGCTTTGGTAACACCAGAGAGTTTACAGTAAACCCTCTCTGGTAACACTTACCTTGATAATATAGTTTAGCACACACATAGGGAAACTGGTGGGACTCGGAAATCTTTTGATTATGTATGAATTTCACTAGGCACATGTTTTGAATATAAACATTATAAACATGTAAAAAAATATTTCATCGTCATCAATGCTCCTTCCATTTGTCATATTTTGTCTCTGCCCTGGGCTTTCCTTCCTAGCTCATTCCAAGGGATCTTCATCTCTCTCATGTCCCTTTTCACCCATCCCCTCCATGTCGCTTCTGTCAAGACTAGTTCAAGTGTGTCTCGCTGATTCACAGTATGTGTAGGTGGTATCGGTGCATCTCTTGGAGGACCTGTGCAGTTTTTCCAGCCTCATAAAGGGACCTAATGTTCCTCGATCCAATCTGGAGAGACTTGGACTTGGATATGGTGGAGGCTTCTGTCCAGCAGTTTCCTTTTGGCTTTCTTTGCCTCGCATCATAAGCTCTCCATTCGGAGAAGATCTACAACTAGCCAAGCAGAGATAATGGTTTTTGCTTGTATGTGTTTCTGTAACAGATTCTTTTTACGAGAGAGGTTGTTAGCCTTGTGACTCAACCCCCGACCTGGAGGGAGGATGACTAGCGACTCTGTTTCAGGAGTCACGACCTGGTTCACCATTTAGTCGCCTTGTACAAAATGCAAGCACCATGTTGGTTCACCTTTTAGTCACCTTGTACAACAGGCAAGCACCACGTCAGTCCTATTCTTTTCAATGCCGAACTGCACAGCTGAAGAAAATATTTGGGACCTGAAATTTTCTGACCTCTATATATGCATGTTTTGCTAGGTGCGTGTTCACCAGGTGCAGGTATTGCCAGGTGCGTGTTTCGGCTAGGTGTTTGTTCACCAGGTGCGTGTTTTGCTAGGTGTGTGCTAGATTGTTGCAGTTTTAGTGTGGTTGTTTCATGAATGTTGGGCTCTCTCTGATAAGTCACCTTTTTTTATTTCTTCTCTTTCTCCATTCTTCATTTAGCTTTTAACTACCAAGTGCCCATTGTTTCATGTTTGAACCATGGTGCCCAGATTTGTATCACAATTTGTGCTGTTGTGGTTTTTGTTTGTTTTGGGAAAGGGGGGTGGGGGCAAGTATTGTTAAAAATGTTTAAAATGACTTCAAATATTTCATCTTGCCATTCTAACAAAAGTGTAGAGGGTCATGATTTTCATATTCATGTAAATCATTTTTTGTTGGGGGCTCTAGAGGGTTTTTTAAAATGGTGTGGAAACATATTACTATACAACATCTATTTTTTCAGTAGTATGTCTGTATTTGCACACATGAGCTCATTTGTGGTTATGTTTATACACATATATAATTATAATTGTTATAATTAGCATACCGAGTGTAATGTTTGGATATGTGGTTCACTTAGTGAGTGAGAGAAACAAATTTTTCATGTTACTTTTACGACATACTGAGCTCAATTACTTGATATCAAATACATTATTTTGAAAGGGGAAGGAGGGGGCTGAGGAAACATAGTTGTCATATCGAATACTTTTTTTTTTCTTTTTCAAATTTTGATATTTTCACTCTCCCATCAACCCAATCGTCACTTATCGTAGAATATGTAGGATATGAACTTTGACCCTGCTTGTCATGGCCAATCAGGGATGAATAGGTTACTTTTGCCCCTGCAAAAAGACCAAGATACTCAAAACTTGTTCTCACATGGGAATTGAACTCTGGTCTTCTACATGCGATGGTGAGGCGCCAAATTGCTACACCGCTGATGCTGGTTATCTAACATTCGAGTGTCTTGTCAGTAGGAAATGTCTGTAGATGGAAGAACAAGTTTTTAATCCCACGGAAGGGGAGAGATTTTCTTCACCTAAAGTGGAATATCCAATTTCAACAACTTAATTCAAAGTAGGTTATTTTAGTTTAGTTTTAGTAAGATTTTACGGCATTCGCAACTGCATAAGGTCTTATGAGGGCCAGAAGATTAAAGGTGTTACAGGAGAGTAACAAATATAAAAAAAGAAGAAGGGGAGATAAGGACGATAGATGTTTGATAGGAAAGAAGGAACAAACCACACCAGAGCACCTGCCAACCACCCACAGGTTATTTTAAAGAGGAAGGACTTTCCATTGCCATTTTTTAGAAAACAGGTTCTTGACATCTTGACTGGGAAGAAATATCCCCAGCTGATGGAAGGAAATGTGAAGCCCTCTAGATTAGGGGGAGGGGAGGGAGATGGAGATTGAGGTAGAGAAAAATGAGAGAGATGGAGAGAATAGGGAGAGGGAAGGAGGAAGTAAGGGAGGGAGAGAGTAAGGGAAGGAGAGAGACAGTGAGTGTTCACGGTTTACTTGGTTGTGTCATACAATCCAAATAAAAGAAAAAGTTTTTTTTCTTTGAAGAAGAAAATGTTTTCACATTTTTTATTTCCTTTGTACTTCAAACTTACCAGGCACATTCAAGCGTTTTTTATATGAGTGAAGTGAAGCATATTGACATTACAATAGCCATTTAGTCCTGGGAAAAAGCATAACAGACAGACAGAAATGGGCAGAGGAAAAAAAAAGTAGAACCTAGCAGTGGGGTCCTCCAGCCACTTGGGGGATGGGTTTTTTTTTTAAAGTTGCTGTGACTAGAGCGTGGCTGTAGACTAGCTAAAATGTTTGTAGGCCTACAAAACGATACCTACATGTATACATCATGGAAACTGTGCAAATAAATCAACCAAATGTGAGGCTTGCTGACAAAATGAGTTACTTCTCACACACCATGAATAGAGGTTGTATCTCAAAAAAGGGACACAGTGGTCAAAGTTATGGATTTTCTACTGATGCCGTCTTTTTAAAGTTTATCATGTCTTTTATCGTTTCATGCTTATAAATTGTATTCTAAACCTTTGAATTAGATGCATAGCGTCCAAAGGACTTAAATCTGAGAAGTAACTCATTTTGTCAGGACGCCGTACAATTGAAATAAACCTAAACCTTCAGCTCAAGCACATGTGTCAGTTCCTGACATGTTTAAGTAATCTGTGTTCTCACTGTACTCAACTCTAGCACATCGTCTTGTGAGGCTGACCATGGCTCCAAAGTTTGAGACTGAATCTCTGTGAAATTTAATCCTTTTGGATCTGTATCTTTTTGAGGGACCAACTACAGTCTAGCACGCACATACCTAATAGGCACTTGTGAAACATGCTCATTTTGAACGGATGACCAGCTCCCGCATATTTTAATATATATATATCTTAATATGTCTTGATGAGTTCACTATATGCTTGCAAAACAGATCTAGTTTGCCTTGGAAGTGATGTTACTTTGTGCTTAATTAGTAGCTTCACACGATCCATGAACAAGAAATAACTCTCTGTCACATTTTTCTCCTCCAGGTCACCCTCTCACCTGGATATGGTTGCCATTCCTCATTTTCCCTCTCATACTGAGACTGATCCTTTCCTTCATCGTCACAAGTCCCAGCAACAACAACCGGAGCAACAGCAACCGCAGGAACAGCAACGGCAGAGGGAGTTGTGTGGATACCTCACAGATCAACAAACCTTCTAAGTAGTTTTTCATGCAGGCTGTAGATCAGCTGGTGTCCCTTCTTGGTTTTTTGTCAGTCTGCAGATTTACTGGCAGTTTCTCAAACAGCCCTGCTCATGCATGGATAATCTAGGATAAAATTAATCCAGAGAGAATGAAATACATGTATATATCCTACTTTGCTAGTTAGGGATACTGGGTATCGCTGTCTTGATCTGTGGATGCATTTTTTCGACGTGATGCGAAGCCGAAGGGCAAAAGTTCCGCAGATACTCAGTAGTCAATATGTGCAGCAACAGTAACAACAGCATCAACTGTTTTTAACTTCTGCGTGGGCTGATCTTTCTTTCAAATCTGGTAAAGAATGGGGTATCACCCAAAACATTTGCCAAGGTAGAGCATGTCTTCACTCTCACATCGCAAGGAGGCTAGGAATATTACTGTCTTTCTGGAAGTTTTTAATAATCTTTCCTTTGACATGCAGACAATTTGTGCTTTCCGGAACTCTTCTTTGAAGAAGAAGGTCACAATTATAAATTATCGTTCATACCCATTATATTACGATACAAACATGTTCGCAGTGAAATGTGATACTGAGGCAGTCGTATGTACTTTTTTGTAAATGTAGTGTATTATTAACTGTATGTCTTGTAAAACATGTATAAACTGAAGAGAACTGGGGAAAATGTTAACAAATTCAACAGGAATTTATCAGGAAGAAATTCGACGATGCAATATTATAACAAAATACTCATATTGTGTGCTTATTTTGTAGATAGTTGAATGTTCACATACCGAACCGTATAATACAGTGTAGTTGATGTATAGAATGTCTCATAGACAAACCCTCCACTGAATATTGTGCATGCCATGTACAGCTATAATGTTATATATGTCATATTAGTTTTATAATCACCTTTTTTGTTGAAAGCTTTTTGTGATTGCATACTGAAAGAATGCATGTGTGTATTCTTAGTTTCAAAAGCAGTGTGTCTTAAACATGGCACGGAGACTTCCAGAACCTTCAAATAACTCCATTCTTGAGGCAAGCACCAAACACCAACTTGTACTGTCCCATGCCCACTGAATTGCAAAGGGAAACGGTCATAGGGGAAAGAATGATTCCTTTAAATCACTCTGAATAAGTTGTTGGCCTTTCTATTTCACAATTCTCTCTTGTACTGTTTCCTCTAAAAAAAACCACAACCCCACCCCACCCAAAAACCTAGATCTAGCTATACATAGGAAATATGTAGCCTGTATATGAGTGATACAATGTAATATGAGTTTATGTAGTTGTTTGTGCACCACTCTAAACATGTTGAGTAGTGTACACCGATGTCAGAGATTTATGGTCAGAAATATGCGCTCGAAATTGTCCAAGACAGCTGCCTTGTGTGGAGATGAAAAGTGGTGCTCATTGAAAGTTGGGCATTTTGGACAGTGACATTTAAAAATTATAGTACAGAAAAAACACAAGAGTGGAAGTAGGAAATGGTCGTTTCGACAGGTGATTGTCTTGGACAGGTGATTGTCTTGGACAGATGGTTATTAGAGCAGGTCCGACTTTATGAAGTGGATGAGCTAGGTCAGAGAGTTCTCTTGTTTGAATATAACCAGTTGAATGTTAGAACTTTTTTGGCCTGTTGGGAAAAATTATGCATACACATATTATTTAGTTTATTATTCTATAAGTTTGTTGTGTTGTGTAAGGTTCACTCTTACAAGTCGTAGGTGAGGAAAAACCCCAACAAATATGCAGTGTGTAACCAGTAGACTGGCCAACTTTTAAGAGTAAGAGTGAGTTCACTGAACTTCCTTCTTTTTTTCCTTCTCTTTCTCGATTGCATCACACTTGAAGTGCAGTACGGTATCTGTCATGTATTGGACTGTCCTGCTCAGTTCATCTGTCGGCCTGTCTAGCTTCTCTTGTAGTATCAATGGGGTTGGCCTCGTTTTCTGGTTAACAGAACTGAAACTAAATGTAAGTAGCTAATCATGTGTAGTAACCATACCCCAGATTGCTGGGACATTTTAGAGCAACACTTTGAGTGCTGAGTGTTGGACTCCATCACACAACGTCGTTTTTCACAATGGCGTCTGAAGGAGTCTTACACCAAGCAGTCGTATGTACATGACGTAGTAATGTAAGTAAGCCATGTAGCCCTCGCTATTTCACTGTTACATCGATGCAAAAAAATCGCTACTTAATCTGTTGTCTGTGATTCTTGTAATTTAAAAAGAGAATGGTATTCTGGTATTCTGCTGAAATCCTGGAGTCTTGGAGTCAGGAGAATGGAAATGGCACATTTCAAGATATTTCCAGGATCCAGGAAAAAGATGAACTTTTTTTAGTTAATTTTTTTGTTGGCTCCCAACATTTTCTTCTATAACCCAAGCTCGAGAAATCCTACAACATTTTGGTTGAGCTGGATTGGTGGGGAAAATTTTACCTAGGCTCTGTCTGCCCCTCGAGTTTTGACTCTTTTGATACAGATTTAGTTAAATTAATCCCTTTTTGACATGGTTTGGTACTGTTGAGAGCGCCCAGATTTCTCTTCCTGGCGGGGCAAAGGCTACCATATCTTTGGCACAATTTGATCTTATCCTCCAAAATCTGGCATGTTTGATTTTCTAGTCACGATCAGATCCAGTGTTGACGAAAACAGCCTGTCAGAAGGCTGCTGTAATTGCGAGGTCAGATCTTTCGCTTGCGTGCAGAATGGGACAGGTCTTTATGGGGTTTTGGGTCAAATTTGAAGAAGCAAAGTAGAAGTCAAATCGGTGTAATCTTCACTGGACGGTGCTGATTTACGGATACCCAGCCTGACTCAATCCGATCTGATTGTGCTTTTGACCTATGGGAATCCATTTGAAGTGGGTGGTTGGTGGGTGCTCTTGTGTGGTTTGCTCCTTCTTGCCTATCAAACATCTATCACCTTTATCTCTGCTCCTTCTTTTCGTTGTATGTTACGCTCTAGTAACACCTCTAATCTTCGACACTTGTATGACTTATTTGTCTTGCAAGCGGCGTAAAACCCCTACTAAAACTAATACTAATCCTTTCAAATCGACAAAAATTGTAAAGCCTGATTTTTCTCTGTAAAATAAACACTTGGTGGATCGTGTTCTTCTCGACTCTGACAGCCAGCTGTTGACTGTGTCGGAGCGTTGGTTCGTTCTCAACATGCGTCGTGACACGCTGAGGCTGAACGTGCAATAGACTGGTTTAATGGCTAGTTATTTCTGAACTATTGTTTTTATTTCTTTCTTTTCCATGCTAAAAAATGAAATTGCTCAATTCTATAATGTGTTATATCAGCTCTGAAATCCCGTTGTTCAGAAGGAAAGGTATGCCAGGAACAAGGAGAAATATTTGTGGACTGCTATAACAATAGTAAATAACACAACTGACTGATACTAATATTATATTAGAAACATTGACGTGTAGATCTATACCTGTACAAGTCTTCTATATTCTCTATTGATTTGTTCTCCAGAGGGAACTGAACAAGAAATCTGTTGTTACGGGTACTTTTTAATCTCCTGTGAATTTTTTTCGAATGTGTTACTACTGTTAACCAAGCTTGACTTGCTAGTCATTTGTAGATTTTCATTCATTTGTTTGTTGTGCTGTCAGAAATATTTTACGCGATTACTTGTATTCCACCTTTGTGATCTTGATAACTAGTCCTTACATAAAATTTGTATCATTATACTCAAGTCTTAAACTTAATTGCAATGTCCCACTTCTACCCTGACTCTGTGCTATTGCCAAATGTTCAAGGAATGATAAGTTCTGATTTCAGACAGTAGTAAATAAAGAGCTTATGGCAAGAAAGTGACGCTGATTTATATTCATTTAAGTTTATTGACATTTTTCATTTTTGCATGTTATGTTTTTTTCCTGAACTGTTTATTTAATGACCTGTATGCATGCTATACTTTAAAACTCCATACTCGCCAAAGTAACCAGGAATACTTGAATACTTATAACAAGAACATACAAAGCCCTACTCCCTGTGGGCTCTCAAAATTAAAGTCCTTGACTTTGTGAGGTTTTTGAAGAGAAGTGGCTCTAAAATATTTGAATTTAGATGCTCTAATTTTTGTTTCGACTGTTTTCTCCTTGGTGATAGTGACAGCAGGTAAAAGATTGAAAGGTCAAATAAAAACACTCTACTTGTGTTATTTGTTTCTTATCCCAATGAGGGAGGGTATACATTTTAAAAATTATATATGGAATAAAGATAAGAGAAGTTTTTTCACATGTCGAAATTGGATTGAAACCCAAACTGCCCAAAGACATGGTTTGATGAAGATTCTAAAAATTTTATATAGATATATCTATGCAATTTATGAATACACTTTATAATTGGAAGAAATAAAACAGTTTATATTTATCCATCTTCTCCCATTCCATGTGTTTGTGTGCAATTTCTTTCATGACCTTGTGGGTTATTGGCAGGGGCTTTGATGTGGTCTGCTCCTTCTTTTTTATCTAACGTCTATGGCAAGTATCTCTCCTCCTTCTTTTGTTTGTATGTTACTCTCTAGTAACACCTCTAATATCCAGCACTTATTCTATGACCTGTTTGTGTTGCAAGTGCTGTAAAACTCTTACTAAAACTAAAAACCTTTCATGACTTTGATCATTATTAACCCTTTATTGAGACTACAAGTACAAGACTTGTCACCTGAAGCTCCACAGAAACAGACCACAGGAAGGGACAGTTCATCATACATGATGTACTAAGGCATAGCGCTAGGGCTGGTTTGGCAAAGATTCGTTTTGATGAGTCTCATTCCCTGGCTCAGAAACAATGCGCTGTTCTGTCAGTTCTGCATGATACTCTAACGGAATATTTATATATAATGTGTAGGCCCTACCGTACTGTCTATTTCACTATTTTCCTTCCAAAACAGGTCCAGAACATTATCCTAGGTGTTATTACCCTGCCTGTTGATAGCCTTACTTTTAACAACTTTGAAAGAACATGTAGGGTTCATGTTTATTGACTTATACTGACTGACCCGAGCTTTGTCAATTTTTGGCAAGCATCTGGCCAGATTAGTGTTGTGGCAAGACTTTTCTGTTTTGACTTTCAACTGTCAAGCTCTTAAGCGGAACGTAATATGGTGGTACCATCGAGTTTTTGGGGGGTTTTATTTTGTTTTTTTAATCAATATATCTGAGAAGAGCAACTGTCCTCTCTCACCCAAGGACTAAGGGCCAGGCCGGCCAAGTGGGAAAACTTTTTAGATGACTGACCATGCCGTCTGCACAAACTGTGGTCTGTAATGTATCTTTTAGGAGCACAAGTTTCCCCAGTGTATATTCAGGATTTTCTTAACTGCTTGCTCCAAGATGAAGTTGTAGGCCTATTAATAAACAAATGTTAGTATTCCCTTTTCAAAACATTTTTGTTGAAAACTATGAAGAAAAACACAACCTCAATTAGTTGGCTACTAAAAGTCTGGACCCTGTATAATACAACATAGGAAATACTTTATGCTAATCTTAAGTGAAATTTTCCATAATTTTGCTGCATCACTGAAGAGGTCATTTCTGATTTTAATTTTTTTTTTAGTTATAAGACTAGCTGGTGTTTACCAAGGAGTCTCCTGTTTAACCAGGGCTTGATCAAACAGTGACTAACTTGGACTTGGAGGAGCGACCCATAGTTCATACAAGGGAACAAACTCGACTGGCTAGTGTCAATAATAAAGTGGGTACATGATGTATCACTCATCCAACTTAAAAACTTCATATTTAATTCTGAAGATAACTTTTGATGGTTTGCACTGATTTCTATCAAATTTACAAGTAATCATGTATCAATTTGTTTCAACTGAGAGTAAGTAAACGGTTCTGGCCTTTTTACATGTATTACATTTTGACTTTTAATTTCGACCAAATATTTCTTGAGCATATTATGCAACTTATAGTACAATACAACAGATTTCAAATTGGTGGGGGGGTTTTCTCCAAAATGTTTGGCTTATTGAACATCTGTCCCGCGCTATAGCTTGGCCTATGCGGTAGTGCTGGGCGGCTAGGTTCCCGATTATTGAAAGCTAGGAATCGTAGGAATCGACTCCGAACCCAATTACTTACCTTCTAATCATGTGATTTCTTCTGGTGGTTACCTGGTTGGCTCCGAACATCTTCAGGATGTAGGATAACCTTGATTTCGGAACACTACAAGGAATCAAAAAGAATGATTAAAGTTACTGGTAACAGTTGGTTTATGTAAAAAGGAGTCGGAACCTTTCCTCCGTCGCATTAATCATGATTCTTCGCCCAGCTTTACTATGCATCTTCTGGACACAAATTTAATCGATGGGTATCAGATTTCTAAACTTTTTTTTTATCCTCACAAAAATCGGCACAATACTATATATTGAGAAAAAAAGAAGGTCAATTTTGTACACCCGATTAATTAATCTGTGTACCGGTACCACCAAAGCAAAGATATATAAATATTATAAAACTCTGCGTAATTAGTGAAGGCCTACATGTTTTTGTTTTTTCTTATTTCCAAACTGCTTATGCTGCGTGCGTGCTCGCGCGCGCGTTTGTGTATGTGTGTGTGTGTGCGTGTGTGTGTGTGTGTGTGTGTGTGTGTGTGTGTGTGTGTGTGTGTGTGTGTGTGTGTGTGTGTGTGTGTTTTATGTACATGTACTTGAAAACATAAAATATAGTTTCATACAAATATACCGCTTGCACAATACTTGAAAAAGAAAATAGGGCGCTGACATATATGGTAATTATATTTTTAACGGAATCCGTTTTACGATGAGGAAAGAAAAACAAGTAAAAAATTTTAAGAAGCCCATAAAATTAGGAAATTACTACCGGTACCTAGTTGGCTTACTCTGTAAGAATTATGAGCAGTTAAGAAAACAAAGGGAATGATGTAGGATTTGTCTAAATATGCCCATTAGCAGTAAAGATATTGCCCGTTTTGTCCGGTTATCCTTTGCGGGTGATTTTAAATCACACTGTGCCTCTTTAAGTAAGTACCAAAAAATATATATATACATGTGTGTATATATATATATATAATATATATATATAATATATATATATATATATATATATATATATATATATATATATATATATATATAAATATATATATATTTCTGGGACTTTGTAAAGAGGTATTTTGTAGTTGTGTGCACTTTAAGTCAAATTCCCAACAAATTGATGTACGAGGGCTGTCCCACTGAAAACCGGAATTTGGCTGTAATTTGAACACTATTCAATATTTTCACATTCTGTAAACGCACACTTGTAAAACAATCATATTGGAATTTCCCGATTGAACACCATGAGCATCGCACAAACCAAACGAACACAGCAGTTCTCCGAAGATGGCTACCCACTTGGAAAATTGGTCAAGGAGAGAAGTGAGATCTGTCATTCGGTTTCTGACCGCAAAAGGTCTCAAACCTATAGAAATATACGCTGAAATAAAGTCAGTTTACGGGGAGAAAGTAATGGCAAAGTCACAGGTGTATGAGTGGAGTAGTAAGTTCAAAGCCGGGCATACGGATATCAATGACAAAGTTCACCCAGGACCTTGTTCTTCTGCCAAGACTGAGGACAACAAGAGTCGCGTTAACGAACTCATTCAAACAGACAGGCGCCTTAAAATTCGCGAAATTTTCGAGTCGCTAAACATTTCAAAGTCAACTGTCCACAGGATAGTGTTTGATGAGCTGCACTATCGAAAGGTCTCTGCTCGATGGGTCCCAAAAGAGCTGACAGCTGACCACAAGACGCGTCGTGTTGAAGTGTCTCAGACTTTGTTGAATCGTTGTCTCCAAGCTGTCACGGGAGTCATGAACGCATCGAGAGACCTCCAACAATACGATGAAGCATTTCTGAGAAGCATTATTACAGGTGATGATACTAGGATACACCACATGACCCCTGAGACGAAGAGGGATTCAATGGTTTGGAAGCACACGTCTTCACCTCCCCCGAAAAAGTTAAGAGTTCAGCCATCGGTGAAGAAAATCATGGCCACGGTTTTCTGGGATGCTACGGGTGTTCTGCTTCTTGACATTCTGGAACCAGGACAAATTGTCAATGCTAACAGATACTGTCAGACTCTTGATAAGTTAAGAGAGGTTGTGCGCCGAAAAAGACCAGGTCGGTTGTCCAGCGGGGTCATTTTGTAGCATGACAACGCAACGCCACACAACACAAACGCTACGAAAGACTGGGTCCAAAGGTTCGGCTGGGAAGTTCTGCCACACCCACCTCACAGTCCTGACTTGGCCCGTCAGATTATCACATTTTTGGACCAACGAAACGCCATATTTCTGGACAGCGATTCACCGACGACGAAGACCTCGTGGAAGCCGTGAAAGATTGGCTGAAATCCCTTGACGAAAAATTCTTCAGGGACGGCATGATCTCCCTGAACCAGTGATGGAAAAAATGCGTCCAGCGGGATGGTGATTACAATGAGAAATAAAGTACACGTTGAGGTATGATGTGTTACATTTTTATTATAATAGGACAAAGGTTGTTGCTTTTATGGACCTTTTCCGGTTTTCCGTGGGACAGCCCTCGTACATTTGTACCCTCAGACACTCACGTATAACATACACATTCCAAACACAGTCACACACACACATACACACTATTACATGTACCTGCAGTCTCTCCTCACCACATATAAGTGCCGAAGATTAGAGGTGTTACAATGGAGTAACAATAAACAAACAAAAAAAGAAAGAGGGGAGATAAAGATGATAGACGTTTGATAGGAAAGAAGGAGCAAACCACACCAGAGCACCCGTCAAACACCCACTCACCACGCACAAATACCCCCCCCCCCCCCCCCCGTGCGCACAGACATACAACTCCTACCCTTTATCCACTTTCAGAATCACTGCTGTATTTTGAAATACATAACATGTAATCCCCTCACTAAATAAAAGATCAGCAGAATCTCGACCTTGCGAATCCATGGTTGGTTCTAGAAATCTGCTTTTAAAAACAAACAAAATACTGTATGTAGCCTACATATTACTGTAAGATCTAATGCCAAAGTAGAGATATGATAGGACTAGCCCACTAGAATTGTAGAAGTGTAGAATTCTGTGAACTAGCTTACTATCAACATAACCATGCCATTCGAATCAGTCATATCAAATCCTCAAAATACCTGTCCCCGTGGTTTTATGCGCCCGAATAATTTAGCAAAATTTGATTTTTTTTGGGCATAATTTCTGATTATTTTCCTTTATCATTCTTTGTTAAAATTAACAGAATCACATAATTTCACCTTTTTGGTCCCAGTTTGCATAATTTCATAATTTTTCTTGCCTAAAAAAACGACGGGGACAGAAATACAAAGACATTCAGTGTTGCCAGGTGGCAGTGCTACTCAAGAT